CCTGCTGTAATTAAAGCTGATGAATTGTAAGGTGTTGCTATTACTTGTTGGGCAGGAGAAGGAGGGGAGGATGTTTTCGAGCTGTCTGGATGGGGATGCTGCTGGTGTTCGGCAGGTCTCTGCCCCACACGTGACTGCGTGGCTGTGATTTCAAACCCTGCCTTACTCTGCACAGAGGGGAAGGCAAGTCCCTGCCCCGGACACAAGCCCACTGGAGACTTTGCTGGAGCAGTTGGACTTGTAAATTAACTTGGCCTTCCCTATCCTCACTTAGAGAGACTCAAATACTGGGCACAAGGTAGATGGACAGAAAGCAGGGTGCCAAGGGTGATGTGCAGGTGGACAGATAGCGGCACCACCCACAGCAATGAAAATGGTTTGTAGGTTGGGGCATACTTCATTTTCTATGATTTTATAACTTGTATATTAAGCAAATTTTCCTTACCAAGCCAGGGCTGGATCATACAGTCCTTCCCACCCAGAGCCGCCCTCCCCTGAGTACTCTCCTCTATTGCAAGAAAACTAGGCAGGTGGGTTGGGGGTCCTGGACTCACATCTCCGTGGTGCTTTTACAGACCACTTCCCACCCAATGTATCGGTGTGAGCCTGAGTTCAGACAAAACGGTTGTTCTCTGTCATTTTGGGCTTTGTGTGCTCTCATGTCACTCATTGCATGCGTGTCCCCACAGTCTGCAAGTGATTGCAACCCCTGAAATAAGCCTATTTGTTATACTCTCTGTGGTCCTCCGTAGAAGGGGTCAGTATGATATTTAACATGCAGAGCGAAGTGGTTTTGGTTTTGGTCCATCCAGTCGCTCATACACGTGCAGAAAGGGCTGAGCATCCTTTCTGAGAGCTGGCTAGCAGGCACACAGCACAGACACAGTTAAAAGCAGAGGGGAGGTTTGCACCTGAAAGGCTGTGACGGTGGCACGGTGGGTACGTGAGTTCTCAGATCAACCGCACGCCCCCACAAACAGTTATTGACTTGTATGTGGTTTACAGGAAATGAAATAAACTGTTTTCAAAGAGCAGTTGGATTTTGCCCAAAACTGAAACCCCTTGAAGATCGAATTCACAGACTGGCAGGACCTGGTGCCTTCCTACACTTTGAGCTTCGTGGCTTGCGTTGGGACGTCAGCAGGTTTTCTAGTGGGGGTGTGCATATCTATACCCACTGAACGGACAGCGTAGGGTGTCTTATCTACTTCTGCATCCATTGTTTTTCTCTGTAAGGCTGAGAGTTTTCCAAAACTTCCTGACAAACAGGAAAGCCCTATATTCCCACGAGCATGCAATGCCTTGATGGGCGCTTGTGCCCTTCGCTCGCGTGAGTTGTCCCACCGAAATAGTGGCGCTCTACTCCATGCTGGTGAGGTCCTAGGGGAAAGATGGGCTCGGGCATTACAAACTGGGCCTCTGGGCTTGACGGGCTGGCGGGGGGGGGGTCATAGGTGGGCAGATAAGATGCCAGCCCCATCCCTCTCTAGCTGCTGGCTCTGGACATGGATGGACATTCATCCCCCTGGCTAGATGAAGGGGCTTGAGACGACCTGACTGCAAAGGTGCCCAAATCGGACTGGAGTTCCCAATACCCTTGAAACCGACCCCGCAAAAGCACCGGCCCCCATCTGCGCGCCTGCCCTGATGCTTAAGCCTCTAACTGGACAGAGGGGTCTGCGATCTTGGCCCCTTGCCCACCTTTTCCCTTGATAATCTTCTCCTTTATCCTTTCCCTAATCCTTTCTTCACATCTGCAGGGCGCGCCGCCCGCCTGGGCCGCTGCCCGCTGTCCTGGCGCTTGTCGGGAGCCTGAGCCATGCCAGCGGCATCCTTGGGAGGATGCCCACCCCACCGCCACCCCCATGCCAGGCCACAGGGGAACCAGGCGGAGCTGCAGCCCCTTTGCCAGGGGCTGGGGGCAGTGGCAGCTGTCGCTGCTGGCGGGTTGGCCGTCCCGCTTCCCCCTGCCGGGGTCCCCTTTGCATTTCAGCTCCTGTAGTTGGCATAGAGAGCCGCACAGACACAAGTACTTTAGTTACATTGTTGGGCGAGTTTGAAACAACTCCCTCTGCCTTGGCCTTCCACGCATTGTCACTGGATTTTCTAGGCGCGTGTGTCCTGCTCTCTTCCCCCTTTGCCTTTTGCTTTCCAGCTCTTGCTTCTGATCCTTTCTTCTTTTATTTTTTCCTCTCTCTTTTTTTTTGCTTTGATTTCTCCCTCCCCCTTTTGGGCTTCCCCATCGTCCCCCCAGCCTCTGGCATGAGTTAAACACCAGCGATGGACACCAAACATTTCCTGCCACTGGGTGAGTCGCTTTGCAAAGCTTTTCTTGATTTTTTTTCAATTTTTTATTTCTGGAATTTTACTTCTTGATGTTTGGGTTTTTTTCCTTGAATTAAAAAAAAAATTTTTTTGGCGTCGATTCCCCTGCCAATCTTGGGGCAAAGGGGAGGGGGGGAAGTGCTGGATTTGGGGTCTGGGGGTGCAGCAGCCCTGGGGCAGCTGGGAGTTGGTGGCAGTTTCCCGGCTGGACAGAGCAGGGCAGCGGAGGGGGGGACCTTCTTCCAGCCTCCCCTTTGCAAGGCTTTCCCTGCATTTGTAGCGAGCTGCACTGGGTTTTGCAAGCTGGGAATCCCGGGTTATGCTGCTGCCCAGCTGGGGAGGGTGGACAGGAGCAGGGGGGAGAGTTGTGGGGGGTTTAATTTCTTTACTGATCCCAGGGAGGGGGTGGGAAAAAGTGCTGCTTGGGGTGGAGGGGATGGGGCTTTGCAAACGTGGGCAGAAGCTGAGCAGAGCCGGAGGAGACGGGAGAGCAGGGAAGCAGTCTGGAAAAGTGGGGGCTGACACTCAGCTCCAAGGTGCCTGGCTGGAAGCAAATGCACAAGACACGGCAGCAGCAGCTCCGAGCTTGTGTCTTGTTGCACTGGGTTTGCATGTGTCATAATGTCCCCCCGGGACATTTTATTTCCCCCCCACCCTCCTTCTTGTCTTTATTGATGGGGTTGGTCCCCTCCTTTCCTTTTTTCCCCCCCCCGTTCTTTTCCCCCTTTTGCCCTCCCCGCTGCCTCTGGAGGCATTTCCAGTGTGCAGTCTGGCAGAGATAAATGTAATTGGTAAGGTTAAAGGTGCCCGCGTTGTACGTCTTGACAGCAAAGCTGGGATCTGGAAGGTGGATGGACGGTGGGGGCATCTGCCTTGGTTTTTCCTTGCCGCCGGGAGCCCTCCGCACCTGACGGCCTGGGCTGGTTTTGATTTATTTACTTATTTTGCAGCGTGTTTTAAATGTATTTCCAGCTGGAGGTTGCCAGCGTCTCAGGGACCGAGTCAAGTCTTGGCTTGTCAGGCTAAAGGCCGCCTCGCGTCTCCGTTTCAGCACAAGCGCGGCGGCTTCGCGCTCTTCCCAGAGTGCAGCATTTAAAAAAAAAAAAAAAAAAAGGAAAAAGAAAAAGTTAGCTCCAACTCACCTCAACTCCAGCCCTCCTCTGCTGGCAAGTTGTCCCAGGGTATTCACGGGATGCCAGGGCTTGCCAGGCATCTGACGTGAACCGCAGCACCACGTATCGAGATGAGTGCGTTAGCCCGAAATCTGAATTTCCCTGGTTTTTTGGGTGGCTGCGATGCATTGCTCACAGTGGCACTATTACATTTAATGCCAGTTTCTGTTCATTTACTGCCAAATACCAAGAAGCAAGGGGAAAAGACACAGGGCACGGGAGTTTTGGAGACCAATATCAGCCGGGCCAGGGCTCGCCCTCTAGACATGCTGCTGCATTGCTAAAAACCATTACATTTTTACTGTGACCCTCTCTTGATTTTGTTGGGAGATAAAAATGCCGCTGGGCTGACGAGCCCGCGTTACTGTGCTGGGTGGCACCGTCTCTTCTGTAGCTCGGCACCCACAAAAATCTTGCCCTGCATTCACTCAAACTGATTCATTTTAGGGCAGGTCAAATGAAACCATACAGAAAAGCCTTTTCCGCTGATACCGCGGCACTATCTTTACACCCATACCTTCATTTTATTTGCGGCTTGGTAGGTTATTTATATTTCCTTTGATCCTCCTGATGAAGACAAAGTCGAAACTGCCTTTGCTTTCCCTGGGAGGCTTGGGTCATAAATCTATATAAATGTTTTTGGTGGTACCGGAGAGGTTTTTCTAGCTGAGAACTGTATGTGCTCACTACATGTTTTCGTATGAGTCCTTTGATTTGAATTTTTGGGGGAGGGCGGGGGAAGCAGGCTGGTGATTTGTGTTGGGATTTTTATTTTTCACACCACAAACAGGTGATGTGTAAACTCCTGGGGGGAAAAGTAGGCTGGTTTGCTGCTGCGGGCACTGGCCCACACTTGTCGGCAGAGCAGGGAGGGTCAGCCTCGCTGGACATTGGAAGGAAATCGCAGCGCTAGCTCAATGTGGCAAAAGGGGGAAATAAAAGCAAGCCCTTATTGTTTGCTGGAGGATTTAGCTGCTCTCTGGAGCTGTTTCACACGCGTGAGCGACGCTATGTGCGGGTGCAAGAGATTTCTGAGCTTGATTGGGGGGTGCATTTTGTCACCCGCCTTTAGGACAAAATTGCAGTATTTGCAGGATAACAGAGAGCGTTGCAGGTCTCGGACTGGCTCCCTTTTTGGCCACCCGGTAAGCACGGACAGCGGCCTGAATTCCCAAAAAAGGGGCGTAAGAAAAAAGGGGGAGAAACCTCCCCGAGTCTTCGCAGAGCCCCCGGAGCAGCGTCTGGCGGGGCCGCGGGGGCGGCTGTCCCTATTAGAGGTCTGATTGGTACGAACGAGGGGAAAGCGACTGACTTCTACCCGCGGAGCACGAGAGCATTTTGGCAACTCTGCCGCTCGTGAGAGCGATGGCCGGGGAAGCTGGCAGTTGCAATCGAGGGTGAATTATGGAAAATCAGATCGTGCAGTTCCTGTATTCCCTGCAAACCAGTAGGGACCTCAGTTGGATGCTTGCAGGCTGGGAAAAGGCCAAATTCATGTCTCAGTTACTGTGTAGCTCCATCGAAATCTCGCCGGGACTGACTTTGGCCTAAAGAGGATAAGTAAAGGCTTCTGGCCAAATTCTGCCCTCGGTTAGACTTGTGTAACCCCACTGATGTCACTCGAATGCATGAGGCCGGAGCTAGGTACTTTAAATACTGCAATTTAATTTCTCTCTCCGGTCCCGGGAGCATCAGGAAGAAACTTCGGAGAGTCCAAAGCGTGCGGCGGGATCTTCTAACCATCCTGAGGCTCTCCGAGTGCATCTCTCCATTCCCCGTCCCTGCACGGCCTCTTCATATTGGCCTCCGCAGTAGCCGGCTGCAGCTTTTACAGGACATTAAATGACCAGTCACTGGAATAAGCCCCCGGAGGAGAAAGCCAAGAGGATGTTATCGTGCACGCTCTCAGAGTCTGGTGGGGCGAGATTACAGATACACGTGCGGCATGAGTTGGGGTTGTGCTAAGATAGGGAGAGTTTGATAAACAGAATAGAAATGCAAAACGAATCTCTTTTTCTGTTTGGCTTGGTCTGTTTTGCTTGGTGCCCACCCTGGTGCCTGCTTTCATCCTCTTCGTGTTGATCCCTTGAGCCATCCTAGGTGCTTGTAGTTGCTTTTGTGGAACAGGTGCACAGAGGGAGCTCGCACTCGAGTGCCAAACTGTCCGAGGAAAGAAACAGTTAATCAGCGTTTGAGCTGGTCATTGAATCCTAGGCTGCCCGTTCCCCGGGGTCACCAAGTCGGTCGGTTCATTTGGTGGCTGTGTTCGTGAAGTCGCTTTTCCCGACTCAACTGCTCTGCCAGGGACAGTCACAGCTGCTCAGGATGTGGCCTTAGACCTGGCCGTCCCAGAAACTGCAGAATCAAAAGCAGCCAGAGGTAACACGTGAGTCAGGTTTGTTTTGCACGGGATGAGGGTGGGCGAGACGCTGGCAGGGTCGAGCTCAGTAAGCAGCACGCCGACTTCCAGAGGGCATCTGCATCCCTGCCCAGCTGGGCCCAGGTCACGGTGCATCTGAGCCTGGGCCTTGGGCACAACTTTGTGGCAGGTTGTCTTGGACAGATGCAAAGGTACCTTGGATGAGAGCCGTCAGCCCGCCTCGGGTTGGAGACTGGGACGACACAACGGCCCAGTCCTAACTTCAGAGACTTGGGCCTGATAAACAGCGGGAGAAAGATGACAAAAAAAGCATGACCATTTAAAAAGATTTTTTCCGAGCACTGGAGAAGCGCCAGCTTCATACAACCCGGGGAATTTGGTTTTTTTCCTTGATTTTCCTTTCTTGGTTTTTTAATAGTTTCTTCCCTTTCTTTCTTTTTTCTCTCTTTGCCACTAAAAAAGGGCAAAAAGAAAGGAAAGTTAGAGGGGGAAAAAGGGCGTAAGGGGGCAGGGAGGGGAGAGTTTATTTGACGGAATAAAAGCCAGGAAACCGATATTTCACCGAATTTTTGTCCTTGTAAAATGCAATTTTGCTCACAGCAACTAAAATGTGTCATTCTGGATGATGCTAGTTGCTTTATTGAGCTTCCTTGTAAGCACCAGGGACTTGGGGTGTCCTCAGCATCTCTGCGAGAGGGCTGCTGAGACATAGGATCAGGTCCTGGAGGAACACGAGAGAGGGGTTTTCAGGTTAAAACCCAGGACAGTGCTATTTGAGTGCCTTCTGGCTTTACACAGGCTTTACACCACGCTTGACGCGTGCAAAAGGGCCACGCTTGACGCGTGCAAACAGTCCACACTTGACGTGTGCAAAAGGTTTCCAGCTGGAAAGGTATTCTCCTGACTATAAGAACCCTGGATCTGGACCGTGATCTCTGCTATAGGCGACGGAGAGACCCGCTCCAGCTCTACGGGTGGATCTACTCCATATATTTACGCTCCGAGAGCAGGATCTGCACGTCTCTTATTTAGGGCATTTTATTTATGTAAAAGCGAGCGGGAGAGAGAAAGCCACAGAATGTTAGTTATTCACTGCAAATATTATTATTGGCATTTTGATCCTGTCAAAGCAAGGGAGAATCAAAACATCTCGCTGGAGAAACATACCCCAGCTTTGTCCCACAGACCTTTGAATGCAAAGATAAATATTTTTGAAGAAATGGGTTAAAAAATACTTTTCCTCCGAGTATTGTTTAATGGGAGAAGGGGAGGGCGGATTCCCTTGGGCCGCGGTTCTGCCACCCATCCGAATTTTTTCACAGCACTGCGAACAAAGATCAACAAACACAAGAAACGGTCGGCGCCGTGCGCCTAGCGGGAGGAGAGCAGGTCTCCGGGCTCCGGCGGGTGTCACCACCCCTGAGACCCATG